TCGATTTCTCTTTAGACTGACGACGCGGCGGATGAGCATCTCGAAGGGAATGATAGCAACAGAGCTGAATAATGTTAACACATGCTTAATGGATTGCTGATGCTCAGTGATATTGTAAGCTTCATCGATTTGCGCCAGAGTTTGGGAGGTTCGTAAGCGCTATCAGATGGTTGATAAACACAAGGAAACGAAGTGAAGTTGTTAGAGCTTGATTAGGCTTACCACACCTGACACAACATCACTTTGTATTGTGATAGTAGATGCCTGGAGATGATGTAACACTGTAGAATATTATAACTCCATGTATTGAAATGCCTCCTGCATACGAAATGACAAAGCTTGACACATTGAGGTTTGGCATAATCTGTTTGTCCTGTTTGCCCTCACGCACCTTACATAAAAGCACGGCCCTCGAATCAACGAAGGCCCTACATTGACTTGATGGCCATACCATTGCCACGAGGAACTACACCTTGACGGACATGATAGTAAAAAAGCATGAAACGGTCAGAGAGGGGTTGAAGTATTAACAACTGGACTCCCACTGAGACCACCTTAGGTTACAGAGAATTACATGTTATCAGTGCCAACTCTGCACTGCCAAGTTGTGTCCTGTTGAGAGTTCTGTGTCAATTAGATTCATCGTGGGTCATCACTTTCGCCGGAGGCACTAGTAAACGCAATAGCCAGTAGTTGTAACAACATCAACAACACTACGAACAATCATCATCTAATACGAGAGCATGTTGATATTTGAGTAGTAATGCGAACAGAACATCCTACTGAACGCCGAACCTCCTAGCCTGAGCCGTAGTACGCAGATGAGCATCTGCATCGAGCTTACCCTGAAACAGAAATCAACTACATGTGTTGGTGAGAATATGAAAATTCTGAGAGGAAATTTCAGGGGAATTCTTTTTTGGTATTTATACGCTAATTTCCTATATAAACTCCCGAGCTCAGCCGAGGAAAGCAAACATATATTCTATCCCCTCACCTTGTTAAAACCAGTCCCGATGATATTGCCAGCGTAGGTGCCTGGAATAAAGCCAGAATAGCCCGGAATGCATCTGGTGATCTTGCGGTCTTGATCCATCTTTGGAGATTTAGTGACAGTACTGTAAGTGATCTGGTAACTGATCGAAAAGCGGGGATCACTGCATAGAACGTAGAGGAATTCTACTAAGTTTTAATCTCCTGTTCTCTATTCCAATCGAACACTCCTTTCCTTTGCTGAGGTTCCTCGTGGTTTTCCAATTTGGTCTGATATTGACAAGATCGGTCAGGCTATTAGTTGTATCTTTACCAAGTTCTTTGCGGTTCTTTTATCGAACCTTCCGTTACACCTTGGCGAGTCAGTTCGCCACCAACGGTCCTCGGGAGAATAAACAACCTTAGCATTTTCCGGTACGCGATAACTAAGAGGTGGTGGTGACACCATCGGTGACACTTTAATGATCCCTACCGTTGATCGAACTTGGGCGGAGATAGTTGCTCCGCTAGATCATCGTGAGTGGTCTTGATCGAGGGGCTCATATCGATAGTGATTCTCGTAGATTTTAGTGAACTATCTGTAAAATGAATTTAGAACCCCGAAATAGTAACAACACTGAACATGTCCCACAGAAATGAGCTACTAAGCAATTTAAATGAGCGCATAAGCGCAAAAAGCTGAAATGTAATAAATCATAATAAATGGGGATGTAATGATTGCATTAGACTTAGGCTTAGTAGTTGTTGTTGAGGGTGACACAGGACCAGCAGTGGTGACAGGTCTAACGGTAGTGGTGACACCAGTGTAGTTCTTAAAGGCCTCATCCATGATCCACCCTAGACGAGTGGCCGCCTTCGCCAGTTGCTCTCGCAACATGCCGATTCTACTTGTGTAATATTCTCTACTCAAATCATCGTTGTTTTGTATATCGCGACCGTCCATATTGCGGTACGCGATACGACAAGCAAGGTCAGCAGCCTCGTTGAGTATCATGTCAATGCATGCGTTAATACCATGTTGAGTGCATTCAGCCAACCACGAAGGTACCATACCGGCGTACTTCTGGTCAAGGTCAGCACCAATGGAGTTGGAAGTAACTCGCCAGAACTTCATACGATGGGAACTGCTATTTGAATCTTGTTGAACGTATTTGCCAGGATATAGCGCACCCTGCATTTCGTCCAGTATTTTCTCTCGCCAGGCTTTGCTCAAGTCGACGTTACTGAAATCGGCGAAATTGATGTGAACGTTTATTTTCTTGCCACCTTGATCTGATGAACGACCAGCACTCAGAGGCAAATGAGCGTCAGCAACCAAATGCACGAGAAACTTCACAGCTTCGCTCCGCTCTTTAGTAGAGAGATATGGATCGATCATCCTGTTGGTGTAGTTCCAAATCGAGCCCGCGAGACAGCGCCCGTTGTTGGTACAGTCTCGGGCGTAGCTGAAATTGCAGTGGTCGTTGTAAGCAGTGCTGAGGTCGGCTAGCCAGGGAAAGTTGAGCCTCGCGGCCCAGTTAGCAGTGGTAGAAAGGCGATAGTCGTTGCCCAACATAATGGAGAGCTCTTGACGAGTTTTATCAGCCAGTCGCAAATCAGCGAGTTCTACAACAACAGCGTGGAAGTCTGACCCGAGGACAGGGGAGAGGCTGAGAAGTAGTGATAGTAGAGGGAACTCCATTAGGGGGATAATGTCAAAATGGCGACTGCCAAGCATAGATAGTATTAGAAGAAAAACCGAGTTTGTGATTTTCTTATATATGGTGAAATATACGAATTGTCCCAAGCGTGACGGATCGTGGTTAAACTGAGGAAGAACATGGCTCGCTGTAGGACACGAGACAAGTATGACAGCAACTCGATCGAACCTAAATGCACAAAAACTCGGCGGAGCGAAGCTCTAAATTGATGATCAGGGATGGATCATCACACAGAGAGAAACGATAATCAGCAGCCTTAAACAATCGAGTGAAACAACAAAATCCTCAGAGGGAACTAGCAGTCTCTACAAAGAGCAGGTAACTTCTTCAAAATTTCGTGCAAGTGCACAGCATTTTTGTGCACGCGTGCGGCGGAGCGAAGCGATTCGTGTTGTGTTGTGCCTGTTACTGGGCAACACAACTAGTAGCCAGACTTCAGTGGATAGCGTAGTCGAACTTCACAACAAGGGCAGACCTTCGTGGAAGGGCAGCCGAGTGAGAAGGATCAAAAAGGAGTTGTAACTCTACTTATCCTTAGTTCATGATCACACAGTGCGCATACGTGCATAGCGCGATCGATGGCGAGCGAATATAAGTGATCAGACGATAACGATTACAAGGGCGAGCGCGTAGGGCGCGATCCCTACAGTTGTGCATTTTCGTTTCTGTCTGTGTCGCTGTCGAACATAAAAGCCAACAGCGACTTTGGGGTTTTATTGCTTCCTTCTCTTTAGCATACAATGAATAACTTTGACGGCTTGTTGGTCAGCGTCACGCGCCACGAAATTATTACGTGAAGTGATTTTTCTTTTTCATAACACTCGATTTTGAAAGCATCTGAAATCGTGATAGCTCAGGGGTGGTCTGTGAGAAACTTCATATCAGTGTTGGAGTAGGAATATATGTTTCTGAGCTGGGAATTCTCCTCACTAGCTCTAGTAATCCGGGTAAAAGTGTACAGAAACCAACAAGAATTTCCCAAAATTCCCTCCCAGAATTTCCATATTATCATCACCAACACATGTAGTTGACCATGTGCATATTTTTCCCCTACACTACTTCATATGCCCACGAATAGAAAGAATTTCACTTCCCGTTTAACGTGAATTGGCGCGATACAATTTTCCCCCGCGCGCAGTGAAATGTGAAATATATGTTGTTCGCATATCACGGGTGAAGCTCTAGTGTTCTCATCAGTTGCTTTTGACCACTGTCAACATTCACGCCGGATTTTCCTGACACCATACCACTCTTTCATCGAAAATGTACGACTTCCCCACCCAAGGACCGCCCGGCATGGCTTCGGATATAAAGCAGCTTATGCGGGAGGAGAGGAGGGACTCCCAAGAAGATTCGCAAGAACCGACTTTCGAGGGTGAGTTTCCTATACAGTGTTGGAGTAGGAATATATGTAATCGCTTTCCTCACCTGCTGAGCTCAGAAGAGTTTCCTATACAGTGTTGGAGTAGGAATATATGTAATCGCTTTCCTCAGCTGCTGAGCTCAGAAGAGTTTCCTATACAGTGTTGGAGTAGGAATATATGTAATCGCTTTCCTCAACTGAGCTCAGGAGCTTCCTATACAGTGTTGGAGTAGGAATATATGTAATCGCTTTCCTCACCTGAGCTCAGAAGAGTTTCCTATACAGTGTTGGAGTAGGAATATATGTAATCGCTCTCGTCAGCTGCTGAGCTCAGAAGAGTTTCCTATACAGTGTTGGAGTAGGAATATATGTAATCGCTTTCCTCAGCCTCGCTGATTATAGAAGTTTCTGTACGAAGTGTTCAGGAACAAACACATAAATTCCTAAATTTTTCTCCCAGAATTTTCATATTGTCATCACCAACACATGTAGTTGACCATGTGTAGTTATCATCAGGCACTGAGAAGCGCATCGAGATTGACTTCGTCTGGAGCGGTGAGAAGGCCGACCTGGGAGCCCGGGCGATATCGAGATCTATGTGGGATAAGGTGAGATTATAATTTCGTGGCGAAGTGACGCGGTCGTACTTTGTATGTTTATGCTTAGATACTTGCACTGTGCGAGTGTACTATAGTCTCGCATAAGGCATTGAAGCGATTGGATGCGTATATACTGTCAGAGAGCTCGCTGTTTGTGTGTGCAGATAAGGTGGTGTAGTGGTGGAATCGGTGGCTGTCCATCGGGAGGTATCCGGATCGAATCGCTGGTCGTGCTTTTAGATCATCATTAAGACGTGCGGCACCACTCTACTACTACAAGGCTTGCGGACTCTACTCGGTAGTATTGCATGTAGTGTAGTCATACAAACGTGAAGTGTGAGATTTATGGTACTCAGAGTGGCACTCACTAGATTACTATTACGTAGTATGTGTGTGTACGAATTCACAACATTGTTGGAAATATTATCGTCTCGTTGGCGTTTCCGATTTTTTCGCTGATTAGAGGTGATTTCTCTCATTTCTCAACATGTGCATATTGTCAACCACATGTGTTGGTGCCAAAATGGAAATTTTGAGGGAATTTTGGGAAATAGTCAACTACTTTTTACTCGGATTTGTATATGAGCCTCTATAGTTGGTGAGGAAACTTCTAAGCTCAGTTGAAGAAAGCAAACATACTTTTCTCTTCCTAGACTGACGGGAGGTTTCAATTCTCCGCACTTAAGGGGTTGATGTTGGTATTTCACAGAAATGTGATATTGTTTTATAAGGTCTGCACGGCGATGTTATTATGTCGTGTGCAGGGATCGAACCTGTGATTCAGTGTTGGAGTAGGAATATATGTTCCTTTTTCCCCAACTGAGCTCAGGAGTTTCCTATACAGTGTTGGAGTAGGAATATATGTAACCGCTTTCCTCATCTGAGCTCAGGGGTTTCCTATACAGTGTTGGAGTAGGAATATGTGTAATCGCTTTCCTCAGCACCTGAGCTCAGAAGAGTTTTCTATACAGTGTTGGAGTAGGAATATGTGTAATCGCTTTCCTCAGCACCTGAGCTCAGAAGAGTTTCCTATACAGTGTTGGAGTAGGAATATATGTAATCGCTTTCCTCAGCACCTGAGCTCAGAAGAGTTTCCTATACAGTGTTGGAGTAGGAATATATATTCGCTTTCCTCAGCTGAGCTCAGAAGTTTCTCCACTAATTATGGAAGTTTAAATATGAATTCGGGTAAAGTGTACAGAAACCAAGGAAAAGCTTTCATAGTGTCCATATTGTCACCAACACATGTAGTTGTGCATATTTTCCCACACTGATTATCATAATCGATCAACCGTGAATTTTTCGCTCGGAATAAATTACCCAGTTTTCCCCCTCCCCACACTGCTGTTCTCATTCTCTCAGACCATGCAGTAAACGAGTTAGGCCTCGAACTCGAATGGTTATTCTACTCCAGGAAGAGCTTCCTTTTCCCGGAGTTCCAGCGGGGGGTTCACGGCTCGTTGGAAGATGAGGTGGTGGTGGCTATCTTGAAATCTTGCACAATCTTGCATTTCCTCAACGCAGCAGGTATCGGTATTACGTGAGGTGTGTAAAGACTTTGGATGTTCGACTGGAAATGCATATGTGTTGGGGCCGTTGAATGGCGATCATTGGATTATGTGGAATGCGGATTTCAAGGAAGTTGATTCGAATTATAGGTAGGCGGAGCGAAGCGATGCATGTTTGTATTTTTTGTGATATGTAGATACGACCACAACTTGGATATAATGATGTATGATTTGCCGGATGACGTAGCACGAGGGTGGATTGGCTGGTTAGTTTATCGTTTTGACTTCCTATCTCGAGGTCCCCGGTTCGATTCTCGGTCGCGGCGTTTTTCGATTTTTATCCTTACATGGTTATAGTAGGTACGGTCGAAGTTCTTCAGCTCGAGTGCGTCCGGTACTGTTGCTGATGGCATGTCGGAGGAGTCGGGCATTTGTGATATTTACCCGGGAGCTGTGGTAGATGCGATTAACTTCACTCCCTGGTGAGTTGGGGTGGTCATAAATTGGACATCATTCGTATCTTTAGTGGAGTAACCTCGGATATTTTCACTTTGTTGAGCTTGCTATGTGTAGTTTTCAAGAAATTCGTCAGAGGAGAATAGTGGTCATATTTTGGACATGATTTGTATCTTTCCCGGAGTAACCTTGGATATGTCGACTTAGCTGCTATGGTCTATACGACGCAAGCCCTACTCTTAGAGGAGGTCAATTTGAAGTCTTCGCGTATACCCTCAGTGGAGAATAATAGTCATGTTTTGGACCTGATTCGTATTTTGTATAGAGTAACCTTGGATATGTTTAGTGTTCTTTCTACGATTGTGTGTAGAAAAGTGGTTATGTTGTCGAATTGGTTTTGTGTATTTTCCTCAGCGGTTATTCGTGCAACGCCTCCCTAGACGACGGCGAGTCCTTCTTTACGATACACGTTACGCCCGAGGAGTCCTGTTCCTATGCAAGCTTCGAGACGAATGTGCGATGTAATAATGGTGTGAAGTTTTTCGTGAAGTGGTGTACGAAGTGAATTGAAAGCACTTGGAGAATTACACATCACGTGTTTTACGCGTTATTCACTGCTTGGATGCCCTTTTCGCGAAGTGAAATGTAAAATATGTCTTTCACTAGTGCTTTTTATATCACGGGTGAAACTCCATAGTTGTTGTATATGCTGTATATATATTGTTGTTGTATATGCTGTATATATATTGTTGTTGTATATGTTGTTGTTGTATATGTTGTTGTTGTATATGTTGTTGTTGTATATGTTGTTGTTGTTGTTGTTGTTGTTGTTGTTGTTGTATATATTGTTGTTGTTGTATATGTTGTTGTTGTATATGTTGTTGTTGGTAACAGGTTCGAGTGAGATATTAGTGGAAACGATTCGTCGAGCAGTTGCTGTGTTCAAGCCTGGAAGGTTCTCTCTCACTCATGTAGCCGATAACGGTATCATCAAGGAGCTCAGGGGCAAAGACAACTTGGGAATTTTACCGTACTCAGGGCGATATGGACATGTGGGAAAATTTTGTATATTTTTTTTCATCGAGAGTGGTTGTTGAAAATCGATCAATCGCTGAGTGTGTCTGTCTTGGTCCCGATAAGAGCAGTAGCGATGACAGGGTGTTGAACATGGAGGCTCTTTGGTGTTATCTGGGGTAGTGAAGAAAATTCAAAAGTTGAATCGCATCTCCTGTGTTCGCTTAGTTGGTTACGTGCTGTTAGTGTTGGAGTAGAAACGTATGTTTGCTTTCCTCAGCTGCTGAGCTCAGATTTGTAGGAGTCTACATATGTATTCGAGTAGTAGTTTAGAGTAATCTCGATATTTTCACATGGTCATCAACATATGTAGTTGAGTATTCGCACTGTATTGGATTCACACAGTTTGAAAACATACGTATGCTTCTAGAATTGAGTTTACGTTTGAAGAGTTTCGAGGTTGAGGTTGTCCTTGGTAGATACGAGCACGGGGTGTTCGATACGGATTACAAGGTTAAGGCAACATCCACTTACCGCTGGTAGGTTTACAACAGTCTGGGTGAAGCGGAGCGAAGTGATTTTTTTTCTCATTTTTTACTTCCACTTCAAAAGTCGCAACCGGCAAGTCATGTTCAGTAAGCCATCGTGACTTGACAGAGAACCTGAAATACGCCTTCTTTTGTATGCATCATCATCACCACTCAGGAACTCATAGTGTTTGGGGGGGGAACTCATTCTGAATTTTCCACGTCCTTCAACAATCAGTTTCCCACGTGAATGTCATGACATCAGGAATATTATTTTCCCCATTGTTATCAAACCCTGGGAGACGTTATTTCTCAAAGCTAGATGGGCCCGTCGGTGTGATAATGTTGTTTTTGTCAGGGAGTTGGATTACCAAGCAAGTGTATCTTCTTATGTTTCGCGTCGTTCGTTATCGCCATCGAAAACAGTGTCGACAATAGCAAGCCCTCGTACTGTGTCGTCAGAGTATTGATAGAATGGTCATTGGCAACTGTTACTGGGTGGACTACGGAATATTCGTTTCTTCCTATGGTGATTTGGTGAAGTGGTTGAGTGGTCAATCGTGGCATCGAAGGGTTGTGGGTTCGATTCTTGGTAGTGGGCGGATTACATGTGTCGGCGACAATTGAAGATTTTGATAAAGTTTTGGGAAATTCTCATTAGTTTCGGTGCAGATTCGTATAAAAGGTCCTTCTATTAGTAAGGAAACTCCTGAGCTCAGCTGAGGAAAGCGATTACATATATTCCTACTCCAACACTGTATAGGAAACTCTTCTGAGCTCAGCAGCTGAGGAAAGAGATTACATATATTCCTACTCCAACACTGTATAGGAAACTCTTCTGAGCTCAGCAGCTGAGGAAAGCGATTCCATATATTCCTCCTCCAACACTGTATAGGAAACTCCTGAGCTCAGCTGAGGAAAGCGATTCCATATATTCCTCCTCCAACACTGTATAGGAAACTCCTGAGCTCAGTTGAGGAAAGCGATTACATATAGTCCTACTCCAACATTGATTTATATAGTTGTGGATTCTTCCTTATTATGTGTGTATCGATCTGCATTGGAGAAGGTCTCCCTCCCCCACCAGCCTGGAGCCGACGACTCCACGCCCCCAGTAAGCCGTATTTTAATACCATTCATCGTTCACTTCGTAGTGGTTGTCTGTGATTGTTATTCCCATAAATAATATCTTGTGCGAAATATATACGTTAAACCGTAGTAGTGGGCTCCGGAGGGAATATTCATTGGAGTTTCACGACTACCCGTTTTACGTGAAGTGGCGTAATAATACTCGGTGAAAAACGTGATATTCGCGGTGATATGCAGTAGTCGTGGAATATATTTCTCACTAGGGTGAAATTTCATTGTGGCCTGAGATGAAACGAGTCGTCTTGGCTGTATGTGTGCGATATTTTTTATACAATGGAGTTTCACGACTACCCGTTTTACGTGAAGTGGCGTCGTAAAACTCGGTGAAAAACGCGATATTCGCGGTGATATGCAGTAGTCGGGAAATATGTTTTTCATATCACTGGGGTGGTGAAACTCCAATGT